ACTTATTTGCTTTTTATGAAGTTGTTTCTTTAATTTAAATAGTAGAATGTTATGGTAAAAAATTTCAAACACTGTACAAACATCTATGTCAAAATGCTTGTCTCCCTCCCACATCAGGTCACCAGTTTCCCAGGCTCCCTCCTTACATGTGAACAATGTCTTCAGCTTTTTGTGTTTATTTTTGAAGACACTCTTGAGTATACACAAGTCCAGATCTACCTTTTTACATTCATTTGGGAGAATATGGATACATACTAATCTTAACCTTGCTTTTTCCACTTGACAATATTTCCTGGAGATTATGTCATATAACATAAAGATATAGACTGATCAAATTTTTATAGCTCTTTTACTTTTTTTCAAATGCAATGTCAAATACAGTAGTATTTGCTTCCAACTCTATCTGCAATGAGCTAAGTTTCCCTAAGCCCTACAAATAGTCTGTTCACTCAGCAGGGGAGAGGCAGGGTGTTCTTGTCATATGGCCGAGCAACTAAGGAACCACCAGGTGACAGAGTTGTCAGGGCTTTTCATTATTATCTTCAGAGAGTCACCATGTGTCTGGGTGACATCCAATCAAAACTTTCTTTTCCCTGTTTAAAAGACAAAGAGGCATTTTTTTTCTAATACATGTATTGAGACTACACTATCAAAAAGAGAAAGCAGAATTTCTCAACAGAGCAAGAAATTAGCAAATGTTTCATATTCTTCAGTAGTACAGAAGTACAGAATAATTTTTGAAAGTGATGCAGAGATCTCTTTGTATAGCCAATGGTCATAATCTGTTAGTCTCCATACTCCCAAGAGAAGAGATAACCCTTCTGATGGTCCCCAGGCTTTCAGACTCCTTTCAAGGAATTCCCAAGAGCCTTCCAGAGCAAAGTTAAATTGCTGGATCAGAGTAAATTTGGAATTTAGTTTTGAAAGATACTTATAAATTTCTCTCCTAAAACATTGTAGTGATTTACATTCCAACTAAAAATATATGTAAGATTTTGTTTCTCTACTTTGGGCCTCAGAGTGTATCTTTTTAAAGTATTTTCATTTTTTTTCAGTTTTATTGAAGTTTAAATGAAATACAAAAGCCTGTGCATATTTAATGTATACAGTTACTTGAGTTTAGACATCTACATTCACCTGTGACACCGTTACTACAATCAAGGTAATGAATATATCCATCACCTCCAAAAGTTTCCTTTTAACTTTGCTATTCTTTTTTCTGTGGTAAGAACACTAAATCACTAAATATGAGGTCTTCACTTTTAAACAATATTTTAATGCACTTCATAGTACCATTAACTATAGGAACTATGTTGTAAAGCAGATCTCTGTAACTTATTCACCTTATATAACTGTATATATTACTTACTTTTTATGATATACATGCAGTTTTCATATGGAAAAATGACTGTGATATATTAAGTAAATATATTCTTTAATGTCTTCCATTACCTGGTTTAATGTCTTTTAAAACTTTCTTTTAACTGACAAAAATTATATATGTGTTTGTGTGTGTGTATATATATATATATATACACACACACACATGTATATTTATTGTGTACAACATCTTGTGAAGTATGTATACACTATGGAACGGCTACATTGAACTAATTAACATATGCATTATCTCACATACTTGTCATCTTTTTGTGGTGAGAGCACTCAAAATCTACTCTCTTAGCGGTTTTCAAGAATGCGATACTGTGTTTATAACGGTAACTGTACACATTGAACAGCAGCTCTCCTTTGCCCCTCCCTAACCACCCCTGGTGACCACTATGCTATTTTCTGCTATAGGTTTGACTACTGCAGGTCCCTCATACAAGAGGAATCATGCAGTATTTGTTCTTCTCTGATTGACTTATTTTAGTTAGCATGATGTCTTCTAGGTCTGTTTAGTTTTTATTTTTATTTTTTAGAATTTTTACTTATAATTATTAAGATACATAATAGCTGTACATATTCGGATCTATTGGTGTTGCTGCAAATGGCAGGATTTATTTCTTTTCTAAGGCTGAATAATATTTCATTGTATGTATATATCACACTTTATCCATTCATCTATTAATAGATATTTAGATTATTTCCATATCTTGGCTATTGTGAACAATAATACATGAACATTTGTCTTTCCTAAATGGCCTCTTCAAATACTTTGGGACCATTTGTATTTATTTTTTGTGTGAACTCTTCCCTTGTCTTCTTTTAAAATGAATTGCTGATTTTTTCTTCATGATTTATAAGTTATATGTATTAAAAATATGTCTTCAGATATATTGCAAACATTTTTTCCTTTTTGACTTTTGGAGACAAGGTTTTGCTGTATTGCCCAGGCTGGAGTTCAGTGACACAATCATGGCTTACTGTAGCCTCAACCTCTCAGGCTCAATTAATCCTCCTACCTCAGCTTCCTGAGTAGGTGGGATTACAGGCATGTGTCCCACATCCTGACAATTAAAAAAAAATTTTTTTTGTAGGAAAGGATCTTGCTATGTTGCCCAGGCTGTTGTTGATCTCCTGGGCTCAAGCATTCCTCCTGACTCGGCCTCCCAAAATGCTGAGATTATAGGCATGGGCCACTGTGCCCAGCCTGAAAGCAGTTTTTCTGTTGATTGTTTTCCTTTTAAGCTAAAATTTTTGTACTCAAAATTATCAATTGCTGTATATATGGTTTCTGAATTTTATGTTTGGCATAGAAGGGTCTTCCTGTCTTTAAGGTCACGAAAATAATTTTCCCTCATTATCTAGCAGGTTTTTTCCATTTTTCATATTTCTTTAAATCATTGATTGATTTGGAATTACTTTTGGTGGATTGTTTCTTTAACATTATTTATTGAATGATCTATTTCCCCCCCTCCTTATATTAAGCATCATATTTACTATACCCTAAATTCCTGCATGGGTTTTAGTACATTTCTAGCCTCTGTATTTATTCCATTGATCTATGTATATTAAGATATAAGAATCAGAGTGGTTGTTTTTGTGTTAGAGGGAATAATGTCCCCAAAGATGTTCATGTCTCAGTTTCCAGAACCTGTGAACCTGTTAGCTGCACATACAGAGATGATTCAGGTAAGGGTTCTGACACTAGGAGATTGCCCTGGAGGACTAGTTGAGCCATGTCATCAAAGGCAGGGGAGTCAGAGTCAGGGAAGGAGATGATGAAGCAGTGGGCAAAGAGGAGGGAGCAGAAGGAGCCTGGCTACTGGCGTTGGGATAGAGGAAGGACCAGGAGCAGGGGAATGCAGGCAGTTCCTGGAAGCTGGAAGAGGCAGGAAACGGATTCTCCCATGAGCTTTAGAAGGAGCCAGCGCTGCTGACCCACGTTGGGCTTCTGACCTCTATAGCTGTAAGAGAATAAACTTGTATTGTTTAAAGCCACTTCATTTGTGGTAATTTGTTACAGTAGCCAAGGAAACATATTTTCCTATAACTTGAAAATAAAAAGCCTTATGCCTGTTGGCCTTTTCCCCCTCATAGCACTTCTATTTTAATACAGGCATTGATCGACTTACGACCTATGCAACTTACAACCATTCGACTTTACGACCACAATCGCTAGCCACGACTGCTCCGCGTCTGGCAGCGCAAATGTTGCCCAGCTGGGCGTACGACAGTGCGGACCAGCTTCCAGCAGCACTACCATCTCCGCGTGCACCATTTCAACTGTTATCCCAGACTCGGTACAGCAATTTGTGTTTTGTGTCTTGGATATTTTTCATCAAACCCCTCCCAATAAACTTCTTATGCATTTCGAAGCAATGGACCCAAACATCGAACGATTTGCAAGGATGGAACGGATGGCGCAATGACGTGTTTCGTCCATATCGTGAAATTTATGAAGAAAAAAAGAAACATACAATTCAGACAAAGCTCACCATGTTTATGAAAAAACCAACTCCGGTAACCCCAACTGCTGCCTCAGATGACGATATCAACGATCCGCAGCCAAGCACCAGCCACCAATAAAATGTTTCGTACATGTTTATATATTTTGATATGTTTTGCAATTGGGAAAATGTTTCCTATGGTATTTGTTACACCTGTATTTTGTATTTTTGTATGCACCTGTACTTTGTAATTTTGTAAGTTTTGCAAATATTAAACCAGTTGTACTGGTAATGCAGTGTTTTACTTAAACCTGACGAAAGTAAAAATAAGCAACGAAATGGTGTAGAGATGATACAAATGGCATAAAATGAACAAAGAAAATTATGATCTATAACAATAATGAAAGAAAATTATGATAAAATATGACTTAAAGATTTTTATAACATCATTTCACAGTACTGTACATATAGCCTACTCAGCTTACGACCAAATCGTGTTACAACCGGTCTGTCGGAACCAATAGTGGTCATAAGTTGAGCACTAGCTGTATACCATTCTGTATACCTTTGCATACCCATAGCTTAGTTCCCACTTCTAAGTGAGAACATACGGTATTTGGTTTTTCATTCTTGAGTTACCTCACTTAGAATAATGGCCTTCAGCTCCATCCAAATTGCTGCAAAAGATATTATTTTGTTCTTTTTATGTCAGATAGTGCTCGACTTACGACCACGGTCGGGACTGCAGACCAGTTGTAACACGATTTGGTCGTAAGTTGGGTAGGCTATATGTACAGTTGAAATGGTGCACGCGGAGATGGTAGTGCTGCCGGAAGCTGGCCCACACTGTCGTATGCCCAGCTGGGCAACGTTTATGCTGCCAGATGCGGAGCAGTCGTGGCTAGTGATTGTGGTCATAAAGTCGAATGGTCGTAAGTTGCATAGGTTGTAAGTTGATTGATACCTGTATACCAAAGATTATTTATTCCCTCATTGGTTGATAGGCACTTAGGTTGGTCCCATATTTTTGCAATTCTGAATTGTGTTGCAGTAGACATATGCATACAAGCATCTGTTTGATATAATTACTTCTTTTCCTTTGGGAAGAGACCTAGTAGTGGGATTGCTGGATCGAATGGTAGATCTACTTTTAGTTCTTTAAGAAATCTCCATACTGTTTTCCATAATGGTTGTACTAATTTACACTCTCACCAGCAGTGTAAAAGCATTCCACTTTCACCACATCCATACCAACATCTATTGTTTTTTTGACTTTTTAATAATGGCCATTCTTGCAGGAGTAAGGTGATATCTCACTGTGTAATTTGCATTTCTCTGATGATTAATGATGTTAAGCATTTTTGCTTATGTTTATTTGTACATCCTCTTTTAAGAAATAACTATTAATGTCATTTGCCCACTTTTTGATGGGATTATTTGTGCTTTTTTCTTGCTAATTTGTTTGAGAATCTGGATATTAGTTCTTTGATGGGTACATAGTTTGCAAATATTTTCTCCCATTCTGTGGGTAGTCTGTTTACTCTGCTGATTATTTCTTTTGCTGTGCAGAGGCTTTTGAGCTTAATTAGGTACCAATTAATTTACTTTTGGTTGTATTGCATTAGCTTTTGGCATCTTAGCCATAAGTTATTTGCCTAGACCAATGTCCAGAAGAGCTTTTCCCTCATTCTTTTCTAGAATCTGTGTGTAGTTTCAGGTCTTAGATTTAAGTCTCTGATCCATCCTGAGTTGATTTTTGTATAAGGTGAGAGATAGGAGCCCAATTTCATTCTTCTACATTTGGCTAGCCAGTTTTCCCAGCACTGTTAAGTAGGTCGTCCTTTCTTAGATTCAGGTTTAAGAGCAAGATTTTAACTCTTAGATTGCTTTCCAGAGCTGTAACAAATTACATGTCATATTATAAAGGAACATACTCTATGCAAAAAGATAACTTTGACTTCCCTGAAAATATTTTGTTAAATAAAAGGGCCCCAAAGTAATCAATGCCATCAACTTCAAATTCTATCTAAATGAACTATAGCAGAGACATAGAGACAATTGGGAAGATAGTTACAGCAAATATATTAAGTCTAGGGGCAATAGCACTGAGACGCTGGGAATGGCAGCAGGAGAGGTCCCAACCTTCAGGACTGCTCCAGGGTATGTCATTGGCTCTGACCAGTACATTCTAAAGTTAGCCAGAATCCATTGCTGGGCCTTGCAAACAAAAATACTGACTGTTACAACTTTCCAATCTGTCTTTAATTTCTCTGTTTTTCTTTCATCCACAAATTTCTTGATACATTCTTTCTTTTTTAATAAAAATAGTTAAGAATGGTCATTCAGGCAGGGGGCAGTGGCTCACGCCTGTAATCCCAGCACTTTGGGAGGCTGAGGCAGGAGAATCCTTGAACCTGGGAGGTGGAAGGTGGAGGGTGCAGTGAACTGAGATCATGCCATTGTGTTCTGGGCAACAGGGCAAGACTCCACCTAAGGAAAAAAAAAAGAATGGTCATTCAAGTGGTTACATAGGCCTTTGTGGGTTTTACGGATACATAACCATTATTAGCACAAGATCAACATACAAAAATCAGTAGCATTATATATACCAAAAACAGACAATCTGGAAAAGAAATAAAGAAAGCAATCCCATTTAGAATAGCTACAAAAAATTAAAATACCTAAGGAGAAATTTAACCAAGGAGGTGAAAGAGCTTTACAATGAAAACTGTAAAATATTAAGAAAAGAAGTTGAAAAAGACACAAATAGAAATGTATTCTGCATTTATAAATTAAAATAATTAATATTGTTAAAATATCCATACTACTATAAGCAATTTACAGCTTCACTGCAATTCTTATCAAACCACCAATGACACTCTTTACAGCAATAGAAAAAAAAATCCTAAACTTTGTATGAAATCACAAAAGACCATGAACAGCCAAAGGAACCTCAAGCAAAAAGAACAACACTGGGAACATTACATTACCTGACTTCAAAATACACTACAAAGCAACAGTAACTCAAATAACATGGTACTGACATGAGAACAGACACATGCACCAGTGGAACAGAATAGAGAATCCAGAAGTAAATCCACGAATTTACAGCCAGGTCAATTTTGGCAGAAGTGCCAAGAATACGCAATGGGTGAAGGACAGTCTCTTCAACAATGGTTCTAGGAAAACTGGATATCCACATGCAGAAGAATGAAACTAGACCTCTATTTCTTACTACTTACAAAAATCAACTCAAAATGGATTAAATGCTTAGTTGTGAAACCTAAAACTACCTAGAAGAAAACACGAGGGAAACACTTCATGGCATTGGTCCTGGAAAGGATTTTTTAAACATAAGAATCAAAAGCACAGGCAACAAAAGCAAAGTGGGATTACATCAAATTAAAAAGCTTCTGCATAGCAAAAGAAAGTAAAGGAAACAATCAACAGAGTGAAGAGACAACCTACAGAATGGGAGAAAATATTTGCAAGCTATGCATCTTACAGGGCGTTAATATCCAGAATATATAACGAACTTGATTCAATAGCAGCATAATAATAATTTGACTAAATAATAGGCAAAAAGACCTGAATAGACATGTCTCAAAAACATACAAATGGCCAAGAGGTGTATGAAAACAATGCTCAACATTACTAATAATGAGGAAAATTCAAATAAAAATGACAATGAGATATCATTTCACTCCAGTTAGCATCACTGTTATGAAAAAGACAAAAATAAATGCTGGTGAGGATGTAGAAAAAGGAGAACTCACACACTATTTATGGGAATTTAAATTAATAGAGCCATTATGGAAAACAATATGAAGTTTCCTCAGAAAACTAAAAACTATCCAGAAATCTTGCTGCTGGGTACATATTCAAAGGAAAGAAAATCAGTATGTTGAGGAGATATCAGCATCACCCCCATGTTTATTGCAGCACTATTCACAATAGCCAAGATATGAAATCAACCAAAGTGTTCATCAATGGAGGAATGAATGAAGAAAATATAATATATTTACATAATGGAATACTATTTTGCTCTATAAGAGAATAAAATCCTGTCATTTTGACAACATAGATATGCCCAGAGGACAGTATATTAAGTAAAACAACTCAGGCTCAGAAAGATAAACACCCCCATGATTTCACTCATATGTGGAATCCAAAAAAACATGATATCATAGAAGTAGAGAGTAGAATAGAGGTTACCAGGGGCTGGGAAAAGGACAAGGGGAGATGCAGACTTGTTGGTCAGTGAGTACAAAGTTATGGCAAAATAGGAGGAAGAATGAGTTCTAGCGTTCCATTGCACAGTAGAGTGACTATAGTTGACAATATAGTGTGTATTTCAAAAGAGCTAGAAGAGAGAATTTGAATGCTCTCACTACAAAGAAATTATAATATTTGAGGCGATGAATGTGCTAATTACTCTAATTTGATTATTATATAATGTATACATATGTCAAAATATCACACTGCCCTCCATAAATATGTACAAGTGTTATGCATCAATTAAAATATAATAAAACTGAAAAAGACATTAAAAATTAGTACATTTGCTATGAGAAGGTGTGTTTCACATCCCAAAGTGAGTTAAGAACTTTGCCAAATAATAGTTATATATTAGAAGTTTCTAAATCATATTAGCAGGAAGATTTTTTTCATACAAAGAAAGTTTATCGTACAAAAATAATTTCTTTCATAGTCAAGTTTCCTAACTCTCAAACTTCCCAGCTAAGCTTCCTTCTGAAAATGTCTGTTATTATCCCAGTTAAGGCACTATATATAGGAGCTCAAATTTTCATCAGATTGATGAAATGTCAGCTCCTTCAGAAAATGAGTTTTCAGCAATCCATCTGTTAAATGGCTAGATTTTTTTTAAAGTATGAGATTTCAAAATAAAAGATAAGAGGAAAACATTTAGATCCTTTAGCCATATTATTTTGACATAATGACATATTTACTCAATAGAAGGTCTTCACAAGTAATTATAGTTTCCATCAAGGTCATTTCTTATGCTCAACTGTGATTAGTTTGGACTTGCTGCAGTTCACATATCATTCTCTAGCTTACTTACAAAGAAAATTGTGATTGGAATTTAGAATTTTCAAAATTGTCCTTGAAACTCTTTGCCTCTCCCTAAGGGGAGAAATTTAAATCTCTTAAAAATTGATGATTCGACTAGAAGCCTAACATGAAAGCAAAGTTGGTGAAAGATCATATCAAGGTTATATAGCTAATCAGTGACAAAATCAGGATTTTAGTATAGTGTAGTTCTACTTATAGCAAAACATTGTATTCTTTTAGGTATCACCATTTTGATGTATCTTTTGAAAACAAACTGAAACACTCTGTTGTGGATATATGTAAATGTTTCAAGTGCATTCTTTTTCTACTTTAAAATGCACTCAGTAACTTTAGTTCTGTCAGTGCTCACATATCAGGCAGCTTATGTTAGTGGATTTTAAGGTTGAATTTTAAAATATTAATGTTTAAACCAATTAAAGATGCAATAATTCAACTTTTTTTTTAACACTTTTTCAGTAGGATTTGGGTTTCATAAGAGCATTCTCACACTAGCAACTGACTCTCATTGTCTTTTATTTATTGAACAAATATTATTGAGAACCAACCATTGGCCAGGAACTGTTCTGGGCACTTGGGATGCCTCAGGGAACTAAAAGAAGATCGCAATCTCTGCTTTCATGAAACTAGCATTTTTAGAAATTATGGGCAGACAATAAACAAAATGTAATTCCTTTGGAAAGTTTGAATAGAAAAGTAACATAACCTGGCTTATGTTTTAAAAAGACAACCCTAAGTGCTATGTAGAAAGCACTCTAAGGGGTAACAGGAAATGAAGGTAGAAACATGAACACTACTTAGAAACATATTGCAGTAGTCTATTGAGAGATGCTGTGGACCAGGTGATAGCAGTAAAAGTCATAGGCAGGTTAGACTCAGGAAATATTTTGAAGGTAGATCCAAGAGTATTTCCTGGCAGATAGGATAAGATGAAGAGAGTATTTAAAGATGCATCCAAGGATTTTAAGTAAACAACAGGAAGGATGAGCTGCTTTCAACAGAGATGGAAAAGAATTTGAGAAGAGCAAATGTGGGAAAAAATCTGTGTACAAAAGACTAAAAACTGTTTAAGAGCTCAGATGGGACCAATGACGTAGGCCTCCATGTATTTCATAAAAGAGGCCATATGATTTTTGGGGGGTCTCTTTGCAGTGAGCTGAAACGAGAATGATGAGTTGTGTTGAAATGCACGCGTGGGGTCTAGTAAGGAGGGTCAAAGTCCGAGGAGCTAGAAGACATTTGGCTTTCAGAGACTTTCATTCAGTACCATGGACAGCTTCAAACAAAAGCTATAGACCAGGGATATTCAATCTTGTGGCTTCCTGGGCCACACTGAAAGAAGAATTTTCTTGGGCCACACATAAAATACACTAACACTAACGACAGCTGATGAGCTTTTTAAAAGTCACAAAAAACTATCATAATGTTTTAAGAAAGTTTATGAGTTTCTGTTGGGCCACATTCAAAGCCATCCTTAGCTGCATGCAGCCTGCAGGTTGCAGGTTGGACAAGCTTGTTCTAGACTGTCAATAAACTAAATCAGAGGTTCAATAATCCTACTGTGGAAATTGTTCATTTCTTTACTCTCACATTCATCAATTCACTCATTTACTCAATTGCCCATTCGTAAGGGGAACAAAGACAAATAAATCACAGTCTTTTTGCTCAAGGAAGAGAACTATAGATAAGCAAACAAATGAAAATAAATCCTTCTTGTTTATTGATTGGACCTTATGACGTAAAACAGTTTTTTCTTCCAAAACTTTATATAACATATACTTGAGAAATACTTGAATCACCTACAAATTTCTTAATGTTTATAATTTAAATGTTACTGTTGTCTTTAAAATTTCAATTCAAACCTGTTATGAATCTGGTGAATCTCTCCTAAAGCAGACTTCTACAGCTTGAGCATCCCTAGCCCCAAAATCTAAAATTTGAAATGCTACAAACTCTGAAACATTTTGAGTGCTAGCATGATGCCAAAGTGGAAAATTTCACATTTGACCTGTGACAGTTCACAGCCAAAACGCAAAACTTCATTTTATGCACATACATTATTTTAAATATTTCAGAAAATCCTACCTTCAGCTTATATATAAGGAGTATATGAGATATAAATAATCGTATGTTTAAACTTTGGTCTCATCTCCAAGGCATCTCATTTTATATATATGTAAGTATTCTAAAAAAAAAAAATTAGAAATTTGAAACATTTCTGGTCTCAAGCATTTTGGATAAAGGATACTCAACCTACATTATGTAATTTCTTTGCCTGACTTTGCATTTGAGTTCTGTAATAATTTTCTGAGGCTGCCATAGCAAAAGACTGGAAACTGCATGGCTTAGAACAAAAAAAAAATGTGTTATACCACAGTTCTGGAGTTCAGAAGTTCAAAATCAAGGTGTTGTCTGGTTTATCCTCCTTCTGAAGGTGTAGGGAAGGATCTTTTTCAGGTCTCTCTCCTAGCTTCTAGTAGTTCCTTGGCTCATGGCCACATAGTTCTAATCTTCACATGTGAGTCTGTGCCCAAATTTCCCTCTTTTTTAAAATGTAGACACCAGTCATATAGATTAGGAGCCTACCCTACACCAGTATAACTTTATCTTAACTAATTACCTCTGCAATGAACCTATTTCAGAATAGGTCACATTCTCGGTGCTTGGGCTTAGGACTTCAACATATGAATTTTTTGGGAATACGATTCAACCTATAACAAGTTCACAATATTGTTGGTGTCAAGTGATGACCTAAATTTACAGTGTTTCTTTATTGAGGTCCACGGACTCCTGTGTCCGCAGATTTCTTCTCCATGTCCACAGGTCCCAAACTGTAAAAATATCAGTGTATAGAGACTTCCACTTTAGACACAGGCTCAGGGGGAGGGTGGATCTTAGAAGAAATTGAGCTCTTTTACTGAGCTATGATAGCTGTATTAATTGTGGCTCAGAACAAGCTCAAGGATGCCAAAATCAAATGTCACATTCATCGAGCTCTCTTCAGCTTGGGCATGGAAGATAGTATCTGGGGGTAAACTGAGGCAGTAAACAAGAATTGAGATGAGTCACTCAGGAATGTCATGTTACTGAACCCAGTCAAAAACCCAGGATACAGATGTTGGAGTGGGGTGAAACTAGATAATAAGTGGAGGTAGTGCCAGGGAGGGGAGATTTTGGGGTGATAGTTAAACCCAGGAAACACTGAATGTATTTTTCTCTACCTGAGGTTGTCTTACATGCCAAACCCTGAGCCTTTAACTACATGCATTTCTCTAATAGTTGGAGCCATGTGGAATCTCTGAGGAGTCTGTGCAAGAGCCTTGAGGGTTTTTGAGCACCCTACATACAGTTTTTTTCCAATGTGGTAGGACTTCATGGTCTCTGTTTCAGGATATCCTTACTTGGGGAAGGACATTGGGACCAGCAATGGTTCTTTTTTCACTGTTAGGAATTCATGTTAAAAAATTTTTGAACTTAACTAGAGGACAAGTGTTATGGCTCATTCCATTTTTCCTAAAGCCGTTTGAACAAAGATTTCTTTAGATGGGGTAAAAGTCCAAGGTAAGACTAAAGCATAACAGTTACAGCACTAAAGTTGTGATACAATCTTTCATTTGCAAGTGAAGATAGTAATACAAGATAAAGAAGAACAAAAGGAAAAATCCAACTCCAAGCTGTTTACAAGAAACCCAGTAAAAGCAAGTCATCACAGAGAAGATAAAGAGAATGGCTGAGTAAAGGCACTGTTCTTTATTACAGACTAACATCGTTTTCTTGTCTAATAAAGACATATTAAAGTTTAGAAAAATGTTCCTTATAAATCAATATTGGTTACATAAATACTGAATTTAGAGCAGAACAATTTATTTGCCTGCCCTTTGTTAAAGGACATTGGCTGGTCAATGTTAGCTGGTATTTACATAATCTTAGTTAAAAAAATAAAATCCTGAGCTGGAAAATAACTTATATTGCTATTTTTTAAGTTGAAAAATACGTTTTTATATTCTGTGGGGAACATTTTCTTCCTAAAAAATCCGTTTGCCATTGCTTAGAAACTACAAAAATGTTAACAAGGTCATTGGAGTATGCTAATGATGTGCTGTCTCTTGAAGAGGAACGTAATGTCACTGACCTCACGTACAAGTTTGAGTGGCTCAAACAATTACATTTTTCTGGCAATAGCACATATAACATGAGTGTTTGGGGTTTTCTTTTTGAGGGGCCCCTTCGTGGGGTTCAAGTGGAGTTCATACTCAGTCAGCTGCTCAGAGATAGACATCCACAGGTATGACTGGACTGTGTTTTGATGTAACTGATCGAAGTGAACATGTGCCTCACACATTCCAGAAGAGTGTAAACGGCAACTAAGCCTGGAGAGCCCTTACAGCCAAGGGATGGGGGCTTTTCAACTGTCAAATATTCTTCCAAGTTCTGTCCCTATGCTTTCATATTTGTGCTCTTCAAGGACACATTTTGGTCAACCACAGGTCTTCTTATAGCCATAAGTCTTTGGTCTTATTTTTTTGCCTGCACTCTTATGAAACCAGACATCCACTACAAAGGCCAGTTACTTCATCTGAAATTGGATGCACTATTTTGACCTCAGTTTCACAGTTCTCATCAGTTGATAGTACATTCAGTGAGGCCTA